GATTATTACATTAACACGTTAAGAGGAATAAAACAGAGGTGTCTTATTTAGCTTTGTATTATTTAGTGTGACTGAAGTGGGACTGAGATGTTTAGCTGTGATGCACACTTGCAAAGGTGAAACACAGAGCTGAGTGAGAAAAACAGGGTGATGACTGTTGTTAAAAAACCTGCAAATGCAAAATAAGAACACAATGAAGCACGTCTGTATGCACCGTTTCCTCCCAGACACTACTGAACATATTCAGTTTGAAACTAATCCATGAAACCTTCCTTTATCATAATCCATGTATGGTTTGTTCTTTGGTTTTTCTGTTTCAAAATAAACTGARAAAACATGAATAATCAGGTTATTATTATTTTTTTACTTTTTGAAAAATTAAAAAGAGGCTAGGTTTCACTTTTATTGGTTGAAGCAAAGACAAGCATATTTTGTTAGAGCAGCATTTGTTACCTTCTGAACCATGAATCCTGTCCTGAACTCCCGGTGCATTACGTTTGGCTTCTCACCATGGATGTTTGTCTTATTTAGAGTGAGTCTGTGTGTCTCATTGAGAGCTGATGATCTTATCAAAAACAAAATTTCTTTAATCTTCTAAGTTCTGCAGAAGAGGATTCGAGTGCTGCCATTGCCAACATCTTTAGGAATGGATTCTGTTTATGAGCAGTCTTCCAGCCACTTGCTAAAAACTTTGTCGTTTCCAGTATTACCACTTATTAAAACAACCATATATTTATTTTGGGTATAGATGATTGAATCAAAGATCAAACACTGTTTGCTCTTTATAATGTTGGAGAAATGCTGGTCATCATAAAACCTGTGCATCCACAGCAAACAGGTGCTGTTCAAGCTGTTCAAAGGACCTACAAGTCTACATACGCACGTTGTTCCTCTCTTAGTGTCAATACATTTACCTTTCAAATTGCTTTTGGTTTTATTTTCTCAAATATGGAGATTACACTCACYGGCCACTTTATTAGGTACACCACGCCAGTAACGGGTTGGACCCCCTTTTGCCTTCAGAACTTCCTCAATTCTTCGTGGCATAGATTCAACAAGGTGCTGGAAGCATTCCTCAGAGATTTTGGTCCATATTGACATGATGGCATCACACAGTTGACACAGATTTGTCGGCTGCACATCCATGATGCGAATCTCCCGTTCCACCACATCCCAAAGATGCTCTATTGGATTGAGATCTGGTGACTGTGGAGGCCATTTGAGTACAGTGAACTCATTGTCATGTTCAAGAAACAAGACTGAGATGATTCCAGCTTTATGACATGGCGCATTATCCTGCTGAAAGTAGCCATCAGATGTTGGGTACATTGTGGTCATAAAGGGATGGACATGGTCAGCAACAATACTCAGGTAGGCTGTGGCGTTACAACAATGCTCAATTGGTACCAAGGGGCCCAAAGAGTGCCAAGAAAAGATTCCCCACACCATGACACCACCACCACCAGCCTGAACYGTTGATACAAGGCAGGATGGATCCATGCTTTCATGTTGTTGACGCCAAATTCTGACCCTACCATCCGAATGGACGGGTGGTTATTTGAGTCACTGTTGCCTTTCTATCAGCTCGAACCAGTCTGCCCATTCTCCTCTGACCTCTGGCATCAACAAGGCATTTCCGCCCACAGGACTGCCGCTCACTGGATGTTTTTTCTTTTTCGGACCATTCTCTGTAAACCCTAGAGATGGTTGTGCGTGAAAATCCCAGTAGATCAGCAGTTTCTGAAATACTCAGACCAGCCCTTCTGGCACCAACAACCATGCCACGTTCAAAGGCACTCAAATCACCTTTCTTCCCCATACTGATGCTCGGTTTGAACTGCAGGAGATTGTCTTGACCATGTCTACATGCCTAAMTGCACTGAGTTGCCGCCATGTGATTGGCTGATTAGAAATTAAGTGTTAACGAGCAGTTGGWCAGGTGTACCTAATAAAGTGGCCGGTGAGTGTAAGTTGTTTGTTTGAAGTTGTTTAATAAGAGGCAGATATAAGACTGTTCTTCTTTGCCTCCTTTCAATAATTGTTGATTTACTTAGTTTTTTAGTGGATTTTTGTTATTTTTAGAAGGAAATAAATTAATAAATAGAAAAATAATTTGTACAGTTCTCAGGCTAACGTATTTATAAGAATTTCCCAAATGAAGAGAAACGCCAGAGTTTATTCAGTCATGTTTTGAATGAACGCCCTTCATTTTTACAATACATTAACAGTGTTAAAAAAACTGCAGATAATATTTTTGTTTTAGAGATTTTTCTTTTTGGTTTTAGTTGCTGTTTTTTCATCCATTCAGTCTTTGCACTGTTTTCAATCTAAAGCACTTCATGTTTTTTATCTGTAAAAAGCACTATATAAATAAAACAAATATTGGCTGTCAGTTGAAAAAATTTTATAGATCTGATGTATTTTTATTATTTGTAGAATCATTACTTAGATTCACTTTAAACTCCAGGTTGTAATGCAATGTATTGACTTATCAAAAGAAACTGCATTGATTTGTATGTTTAAAGGACTTTTCAAATAAACAAGCTAGTTAAGGTTAGATCAGTTCTAAAGTAGGGTTCATTGCAGTTCACTATTTTATAAACCTTTACACTACTTTAACTTTCACATTAAACTATTGTTTTGCATAAGTCTATGGTTRTTTATCAGAAGACTGTTGGTCTGCAGTCTTTTACCAAAAAGGTTTGATATGAAACATGTTTTACTAAACAAACTCTTGAATGTAACAAGGCAGACAAACTGATGCAAACGTCATTTGGTGTAAATTCAGACTTTCAAGTGAACCCCGGTTAATTGCTTGCTTCATTTGGCAACAGATGTTTGATACGAACTGTTACTGGTGATGGACTGCTAACAAAAATAAAAATAAAAAATGCAGAAAGTAAAACTCTGAAGTTCCCAAAGCACACACATTGGGATTTGTGAGTTAATGTGTGCAGCAAATTCATATTCTGCTTGATTCATTACTCATTCCTCCCCTCGTTGTGAGGCATTTTATTACTCCTTTCAATGAGGCAGATTTAACCTCTATTGCTATGAGTAGGCAGCCTGATTACAGTTATTATTTTTAATAAAAGCTATTGGCTCTGGAATCATTTGGTCTTGTCCTGTGAATAGCTGGTTACGCGCGGCTAAGCCGTGTCTATTGGGCTGCATGAGATTTAATATCTGAAGCAGTTTAGGTTGCAGGCTGTCCAAGGCCCTGCTTTTGTATACAAAATGCAATCTGCCTGCAATCAGGACTGACACCACTGTTTACTGGCTGACAGGCCTGCCACACAGTACACAGCTCATGGTATGCAAGACAGTGACAGATAGTGGCAGGCCCAGCCAAGACAGTCAACAGGCGGGAGTGAGGCTTTTCAGTGAAGAAAAGTYTGTAGTGTGGGTCGGATATATTCTACTGGCTCCTCACAGAGGATGGAGGCTATCAGATTTATCAGGAATGCTCACTCTCACTCCAAATTAATTGAATGTCAGTCAAAGAGAAAGTGAAATAGAGGTGAGAAAGTGACTCAGACCTTTGTATTAGTGGAGTGGTGGGAGATAGGCAGCTGGGTTTAAAATTCAAACCTTAAATGCTCTAGAGAATACACTTATTAACTGAGCTGCTACAGAAAAATTGGGGGTAAATAAAGACGGATATGTGGTCAGAAATRTAAGTGAGGGCTGAGCTGAGACAGATGCTTGTGTGTAATAGATGGCTTTTTGGAGCATGAATAAATAAAGATGAACTTCTAAGCATCCAGTTAAAAGAGAGATTACTCAAAATATGTTTTATATTTTGTTAAAAGAAAATCCCACTCCTAATGCTTTCTGACCTCCCTACTCCGTGGCATTGAGTCTTGAGACAGTTTGTTCCAGCCACTACCTCAAAACACAAGGAAATGTCTCCACAAACAAGAAAATTAGGAATTTTTTCTCAGAAAACTTGAACCACAGTGGCTGAGTGCTTTTCATGGAATTCTTTCAAGATAACATGAAACTGCCAACAACAACTTTAACACAGACTGTTGAGGTTCATGACACAGACTGATAAACTATCTGAGTTTGGTGATTTTTCTCAAAAGTTTTAAACACTACCTAGTACTGCAGGCCAGTACACTGGTTCATACCAAATATTAACCCCCAAACACTGACCCCGTTAAGACACTTACCCCCTGGACATTTACTCCCCTAGGACACTTGCCCCCCGCCCTTAATAAATAGTACTGTCAACCAAGAGTTTCAGCCCTGATATCAGTGGGCAAAATGATAATTTAAATATACGATAGTCCCAAATGCATTAATTATATTAAAGCTTATTATGTTAATGTTCTGTTCTGCTTTGGAGGCTAATAATAATAATAATAATAGTTATTATTATTATTATTATTATAAGCTGGACTTTAAAATTTTAGGTTGAAATATGTGACCCATCACATCGAACAGAGGATTAAAGAGATATGTGGAAAAATAGGCAGATATAGTGTTTTGATTAAAGCATTCTGTCCAAATATAATGAAAAAAACCCTTCATCATTGTATATTTGTATGAACTGTACATTGTATTAGACTGACAGTACTAATTGTTGAGAGTGGGGGATTAATGTCCTGTAACTGTCAACACAGGACATTGGTTGAAAACAAGAAGTTGTGWCTTGTTCTACGATGCTTTTGATTGGGTCAGATGTAGGAAATCAGCTGATTTGTGACTCACAAGTTCAATATTACTGCAGTAGAGATTAATGGTTTTCAGCATGGCTTCCTGAAGAGTATTGGTCCACATCGGGCTCTACGTAAAGTTTTTTGTATTACAGGGATGTTGAAGTAATCATAAACTGACGATGGTTTTCAGTTAAAATCTAGTGTTTATTTTTCAAAACAAAAAAACTACTCRGCATGAGACMAAATTGAACACTAAAATTATATTAATAGAAAGTCACTGAATCATTTAAAACCAGATGAGAACAAATGTAGTCAACAAAATAAATCTGATCTTACCTTTCATCTCCACCTCGGTGTTTGGTGTGTCGTCATTTTCTGGTTCAGCAGCAGGTTCCTCACTCTCTGCTGAAAAGTAGAGGTTAGATTGAGTTACTTGTTACATTCATGTGACAATACTGTCTTCGTGTTTTTCTTACTGCAGTGGTTTTCCAAACTTTTCTGATTTCATCTGACAACAAAAAGGTGCAGGTCTCATGACCCTCGATTATCAGAGCTAGGTGAAACTTTAACTAGAATTTATGCATTTATGACCTTTTTTAGTATTTTGTAACCCTTAAGGCTAAATATTGATAATATTTTTTAAGTTAATTTGATTTCTGTAGACCTTTTCAAGACCCCACAAACCACTGACTCACCTCTATTCAACCTGTGCATTCARTTTACCTAGTATTCAATTCTGAGCTGCATAAAAGTTAGACTTTTTAAACTGTATGTAGAAAAAAAGCACAGAAGACTAAAGCTATCTCCCAAACCTATATTTATATTTAAYGCTTTCAACATTTTTATTAGCTTGATTTGCACCATTTTTCAACTGTGTCAATAACGTTGCTCGACAATCACACAAAAGCTGTTTTGTGGGTCTTTCTTTGAAAGTGTCAGTCATATTCCAAAAAATGACTGAAAAATTGCCTAGAATTTAAAGCCTATGAAGGGAGCATTTGCTTAGTATGTGTCCAAAAAAACTAATGGAGTTGTTGTGAAGCCGATGGCAGCGCCTGCTCTGGAAACTAGATTGGATGAAATAAAATTTGAAGAAAAAGATGGAGCAAAAACAAAAACTTTCCATCAAATTTCATTAGAATTTCTTTGCACTTAAAGATTGTAACTTTGAACTGCTGTCAGATGCTGTGATATTACTGAAAGTCTCAGTTTGTTGCCCCTGATCAAGGGTTTAAGGACTGAACATCTGTTTGCTGTASTGAACACTTTGTTTTCTAAACAGAGAAAATAATTCTGCCACACTTCCTCATGAGTATACCTTTATCTTCAGAGCTATCCCCGCTGTTGACCTTGCCCACATCTTCCTCTTTAGCTTGTTCAACATCACTCATTTCTTGAGTTTGCTCGTCATTAGGATCATTTTCATCTAGAGGCAGAAAACCCAACAAAAACAGAAYGCTCTGAATGATTAACTTCAGTATCAGAAGTGAAGGCCTTCACATCAAATCCTGCAACACGTGGCAGGAAAATGAGTCCACACTTCATTACGGCTGACAGACAACTCTCAGACATTTTCACACCAACAAACTGATCTCGTTTTTTTTAGCTTGAATGAAGGTTGACAGAAAAGAAGTGAAACCTGTTAGACACACAAGGTAATGTTTTTTGATGCATTAGTCTGTTTGAAAGAAAACCTTTTAAAACACTGGTTGTGAAGCAGTGAGATGAGAGCACCACTTGGGTCGGAAGTACCTGACGTTTGTGTTTTGAAGTGAAAGTCATTGACCTTGTGCTCTAATGGGTCTGTTATTAGTAATTAAAGATTAAAGCAAGAGTGCAAAATGGCTAATGCAAGTAAAATGCAGAGAAACAGAACAGATAATTGGACTGATTTCAGACTGTGCACAAATATCACATTTTACAAAATATCGAACTCCACATAATTGCACAACAAATCGATCCATGGCTGGTTTTCATCTGCAACACACACTCAAGCATAACATAATGCTGCATTTTCTAACTGTAAATCTTTAGTCTCCCTTGGTCCTAACTCTCTGTTTATGTCTCCTGAGAAGATAATTACACATCCTAGGTCTTGGAAAGCATCCCGCGACCGCATTTGCTCGAACCTGCTCATAGAAAATCTGCAGAATTCATGTAGCGAGGGGCTCTATCTGTCAAATCGCTGTCAACGGCATGGGATTTGAATAAAACAAAAACAGAAGAGAGACGAGGCACTGCTCGCTGCCAGTATGCAAATGCAGAATCTTAATTATATACCAGCAGCACAGAGGATATTCGGAAAAGAGAAATGGTTCTGGCTCAAAGTTAATGGTTGCCAATTTCTAACGCACACACACARACACACACATTTACTCACAGCTCCTGGTGTTAGCACAACAAAACACATCTGAGTCTTGGAGGTGCTGCATAGATGTATTTAAAGTTGTTTATTTTGTTTTTATTTTTTTGTAATTGTGTTGCTGTTTTTTTGTTTTAACAAGGCTGCCCACGACTGAGCTTTAAACTCTGAGCAGGAGTTAAAAAAACAAAGCAAGACGCTGCATTTCTGCAAACCTGAACAATTTATATTTCCTCCAGAGATAAGAGGCAGTTCAATGTGTTCCTCCCTGCTCAGTAAGTGATGTGTAGCATRGTGGAAATCTTCACTCACATCTAATCACAGCTCTGTTTGTGCTGGAGATTTGACTTCAAACTGTACTTTACCTGGCTTCTGACTCTCCATCTCTGCACATTCATTTAGTGCTGCATCTAGAAATAAAAATATATACAAAAAAATCAAATGGGTGGAAAACATTTGGGTTCAGTGCGAGTGCCTGGAGTTGAATCAACTTGGCTTTCGATATCACCTCAAAAAAGCCTTTTTATTCCAACTCTTTGTGCAGCTTTGTCTTTGTACTGCAGTACGAGAGCAATGGAACCACAGACATGCATAAATTAAGTGGGGGGTAAAAAAAAAAAAGAAAAGAGAAAGAATGTCACTTCCAAAGCCATACATAATTGAGGGATTTCTTTGTTCCAAGCTTGTGTGATAAGCACACTTTTTTATTTTTTGTTAGGGTGGTGGCATACAGGAAGGAAAGACAGAACCGAGAGGCGAATAGAAAATCCATTTTTTGATGACAAATGACACAAAGCAGCAGCGGTAAGCAGAGAGGCTGAGCACGTGTTAATGGTCCGTAGAGCTACGTTACCATTGTCGCCCTCCTCTTCATCACCAGTTTTCTCGTCACCTGAAAGGGAAGGGAGGGGAGTTGTCATGAAAATAAGCATGAATGTGAATCCTGACAGCCGCTCATGTTGGAAAAACAAAGCAACTGATCATCAGCATTCATCATCCGTTGGTGTGGGATTCATTTTGGAGGAAGCGAACATCTTATTTAAAACTTTGCTCCGTTTCCTGTTTTTTATCTCCTCCTTTTAGAAAGTCAGCAAAACATATTTTTTGCATATTATCCAGTATAAAACTAAAACTATGTTTACAGAACACCTTTACTAAGTTAAATACTACATAAATACATACGGAGTCCAAACAAAGCTGAAAACACTTGAATGGMACGACGTCGCTCCAAACCTGTCTAATGTCTGTAAAACACAAGTGTGTTGTAACAAACCAACTGTAAAAAAATAGCTTTATATATTTTTTCTTCCTTATAACAACCAGTTGAGAAGTAGATCATCAGACAATCTCTCCTTTTTCTTTATATTTGGGGTCATTTCTATTTCCTCATTTATTTTTAAACTTTTGAAATGAAACGGTGCTAATTCACCAAGTTGCTTGTCTTACCAATGATTCCAAATAGTATTGTATAAAACAGTATCATTATAAACATGCATTTGTTACCAGGTTATAACCGTAACCAGATAAATTGCATTTCCTGTAAAAACGCAGTGTGAGTGTTTACTGATGAACAATTTAGCTGAAAGCTGCTGCAGAGATGAAATATTTTTAAACACTGATCTATTAATAAATTTTAACAGTTGAGCTGGAAATGCAAAATTAGCTGAATGATTGTTGAAATTCGCCTGAACTGTGAAAACAAAAGCTTCAAGGGGCAGCTGAAAAACAACGAAAAATGTAAGTAAACAGTAAAACGAGTAGAAATATAGCTGAAAAGAGCAGAAAGGAACAGAAGAAATGTTAAAGTAGCAGAAAAGATCAGGAAAAATAGCTGAACAAGATAAAAAAGCTAAAATCAGCTAAAGCTAAGCTGAAATTAGCACAGARCAGAACTAGATCAAACGGTAAAAAGACATGACATTTTGGAGGGTTTTAATGAGTCTAAATTCATTTCAATTGAGAAAAAAAGGCCAGAAATGCTAAATTTCTCCAAAAGTATAAATTGTTGAAGTGCCAAAAGTCTTTGCTCGAATGTCTTGAAGGAACCAAATGTTTTGATATATAAATTTTTGTAATAGCACAAAAATTGCAGAACGAGAAAAAACAACGATCTTGATAAGCTTTCACACAATATTAGCCATGATATGGCCTCCCCTAAGAATAAAAAGAACATATTAATACTGTAAAAATGATTCAGTTGTGATACAACTTTTGTCATAACAATCAGGGGATTTGTACTAATAGTTTACAAGCATATCATCATCATCACTGATTAACTTGCAGTGATGAGACCCAACCCTTTGTAATCAACAACACTAAAACGTTATGTCTGATGTATGCATAAAATGCAGAATATGAACATAAAGTTTTATACATGAATCCCCCTGTTCCTCTCAGTCTCCTCTTGCTCCTGAGCTTCCTCACTCGCACAGACAGACACACAAACCAACAACATTTGGGACAAATTAAGTAAATGAAAGCCATGACACCAATAAGAGAACATGTTTTACAATGGCTATTGTGCAGCATCTATAATTGCTTTTTTAACAAGCTGCAGCGAGAATCCATTTTTTCATATCTATGCAATTTTGCCATGCACTCAGAACAATAAAAATGCCAGCCTCTATTAAATGGGAGGGGAAAAAAAGGCCAGTCCTTCCAGTGCCACATGTTTGTCTCAAGTACCTCTGTCCATCACGAAGAATGTCAGTGACACACAGATGGCAACCCTTTCTTTTAATCGTGATTGGCATTTTCAGAAAGAGCCAGAGACAGCAGGCTGCAAAAAATACTTTACTTTCCTAGCCTTGAGGTTGGTTTAAACCTTTCCTCTGAGTTGGAAAAAAAAAAGAAAAAGTATGCTAGGTTCTTGTCTGTCTAAAGTGATCCATATTATCCATGTATCAGATACGAGGAAGGGCCRAATGTAATTTCCTCCAAGCTATTTGATCATTTGTATTTGGCTTATTGGATGGAACAGTATTCAATTTGTGCTAAAGGATGCTAGGGGGCAGATAATGGATAAACACACATTTACACACACACACCAGACCACAAAAGATTCTGTGTTGGGCAGATGTGATTTATAATGGCTCCAAGTTGAGATCAATTAGAACACCGTCTCCCCACAAAATAAAATAAAAAAAAGCCCAACAAGCACACAAAAACATGCTGCTTATTCATGCGCTCCACACAGCAGGTGGCAGCATTGTCACAGCTTTCTTTCCCCGCGCCTGCTTCATGATCCTGTCATAACTGTAAATCATGGATCGACGGGCTTTACGGAGAAGGATCCGGCAAACGCTGTGAAAATTGGAGTGTCGATACTCGCATAAAATCCACTTTGTGAAATGTAGTGACAAAACAGCAATTTTAGGCACTCGCCTGCACTTGTGTATTCTAATCAAGCTTCAGTGTATTTCTGGATAAAACGTTAGTTTCACACAAAGTTGAATGATTTATTTATGGTGCCATAAGAGTCAGGGATGCAGCGGTACAAGGACATTCACAGTTTACATCCTGCTATTCAACTGACCTGCTTTGTCCTACTGTAACATTAACTGCAGATATTTTTAGGGAAGTTATAAAGGCAAGAGTTTACACACACAAACACATATCATGTCTGTGATCCCCACCTCTCAACTCGGTTTGTAGTTCTTTTAATTAAAGCCAACCAGGACAAAGGACAAATATAATCAAAAGGAGGGAAACTTGAAAAATTGATGGGACAAGAAGACCAACCAAATTGATGGAAAACCATCTGCGATCATTCAGARATTTTTCTTTATGTGAAATTTGCGTGTGAGCAAAGTGCAGGTGTTTGTGAGCCATGTTTGACAGAGAGCCACAGTGTAAAAGATGGTATCCCACAGTGAGGCTCACTGTCAGTCCACACCGTGTTATTAATCTACATATCTAGTCCCACTCACACAGAGAGGAGCCATCTCTCACCACCAGCCCCCCTCCTTCATCAGGTTATTCCCAGCAAGCTCAAGCATGCCAGGAATTGATTTCTGGCTCAGTTTTTACATTTTTTTACTGTCCAGCCTGGTGACATCTACTAATCTCACTAATTCTAATCTGACATCAAATAATAGACACTACAAGGCGACTAAGCTGATTTTAAATTGTTTATATTTCACCTAAGACCTCCACAGTATTTGCCTCTGTGTGAGATCCACCCTTTCGTTCTCCTTCATTTTTATTTATATAGCTTGAAGGTTTTGCACGCTGTGCTTCTGTTTCGTGTGGATTACATCACCGCCCTGCTCGTTACACACRCAAACACATGTAGGTAATCTAAACACAGGGATTATTTCAGCTATCAAATGTTAACGTCATAAATAAAAAAACACCTGAAACTAACAACAGAAATTGTATATACATATATCTTTTAAAATATGGTTTTATTTAGGTAAAATAGTCATTAAACATTTAAAACTGTCTATTATATTCAACAAACAGTAAAATGTCATTTCAAAGCTATTATAGAATCCATTATAAAGTAATGGCAAATTGAAAAGCTACAGGTGTTTAAATGACCAGTAGCACATTTTCTAAATCTGTTTATACAGCTGGATTTCTGTTTTATTATGAACAAATTATTTTTTTCTTTTACTCCACTAAGCTTACACACAGTGTTTTTCTTGAAAGGTGAGAAAGCAATTGCAAATGTAGCTGTTGCAAAGAAGCTCTATAATTACCCCCCAGTCCACTAGCAGTGTATTAATCATTAAAAAAAAGTGCAGAATGCCTCAGAGTTTTCTCTTCATCRGTGTTGTGGTTAAAAGCACCTTTTGCTGAACCCAAGAACAGGGGAGGCGTGAATCCCCTGACGACAATGACACACGTGATTGATCACACTGAGACGTATTGACAGGCACCAATTCTGCTGCAGAGTGTAAGTTAATGTAAAAAAATATAACCCCACATATTGACTACACCAAATCAAGACAGAAGTGTTGCCAGTTCTGCAGACAGGCTGGTGAAATCCAGTGTGTTTTCAGTGAAAGCAGGTTTTTCCCAGGTGTACAGAGGTGGCATGAGATACTAAAGCATCTTCCAACGCCTGTCTCACACAGCTGACAGTCTGCTTTTCCAGCTTGCTTTCCCTCYGCTCTGTGCTATCTGTGACATCTGAGTGTTTTCTATGATTAATCCTTCCTATGTGCTACACTGAACCATACCTAACCTTTACAGTACAGGCAGAACAAAATCATTTCATCCCTTCCCTATGAGAGAGGTTGTCTCAAGGACTGACTGTTCCCAAGCTAGAAAGCTGTGCCAAGGCCTTTTGTGAATGGATTAGTTACTATTAAGCTGCAAGGCCTGATAAATTAGGATTTCTAAAGATTATTACAGAATACTTATGCCCTTCTAATGCCTGTGATTGAATTTGTGAATCACACTGAATCACTGCTGTAAATTATAGAAAGGTATCTTGTATGAGCAGAGAGAATTGACTTATTGTGTTTTGTTTAGCAACATAAATTGTATTGATGCCCTTGGAGTGACTGCACTGTCTGATCCAGCATTTCAAAGACCGTGAGAGAAACAGATTCCCCAAAGAAAACAACCATGACTGTTATCTTCAAAAAATTCTCCACAACCTTAAGGCTTCAAGACAAATGGATGGTGTACGATTTTAATTGCCTACTAACACCCTCCAGTGTAAGAATCTAATTATCTTTGGTCCATCGTATCGGAGAAGCCTATAATTGTTTCAATATTACACATCCAAAGGGGCTGAAGCTGCAAAATAGCCAGATAATRGCTTCTTAAACAAGTTTGCCTTAAAGAAAACATTCTTTTTAAAAAAAGACCAAGCTTCATCTTGTATTCATTTCCCTGAAGAGCTTGGCACCAGAGAGCAAAGGTTTACCGACCATGAGCACATTCCATTAGTTTACACACAGCAGCAAATTTTTCTGTAAACACATCTCAGCGCAGAACGTCTCCCACACCAGTGTTGGTGTTTGGCATGCACAAACAAGACGGCCAGTTATGAGAACTGGAAAACAAAAAGAGACGCACGCTWATGTTAACATACCTTTTTTGCTGTCCTCACTTTCGTCCTTGGTTGTGGTTTTTGTTGACGGAGTGTTATCTGTAAATAAACACTGAGAATTAGTTATCTATAAAAACAAACAAGCTGCAGCTCTCGTTACAGTTCTTGTCAATATTAACTGTCGACAGCTGGAGTGAGTCAATTTTGATAAAGTCATCATAGCAGTTATTTCACGTAGCAGGAAAACAGTTCAAAAGAATTGTTTCTATCACCAATGTTTTCAATTTGGGAGGGATTATCGAAATTTAGCATATTTTGAGCTTAAGAAGAACGCGATYACACATTTTCTTAGTGCACATTTTGAACATTTGGAAAGATACAGTAGGGTTGTGTGCTACTAGAAAAACTTGCGATGTGCAAAATAATTTAAGAACACAATGACGATATCAACTGCAGCTAACCTACATTTATTTTCCTTACTTTCTTCTCTGTCATCACTATCAACTAAACCAGGTGTGKGCTTCAAGGCTTTTGAGTCTGTTTGACCAAATGTATTTTTAGCTTGAAGAACATGAAAACATGATACTTGAAAAGCTGATGATTCATTGCAGTTCTTTGTGATACTGAGATGATAAATGTTGTTGTAATATAGAACTAAAATACTACAGGAACAAAGCTATCATGTCTACAGGGTAACCAACAACTATAACAACGAAAAAATATCTATGTGGGAAAAATTACCATATTCAGTTAATTTAGTTCAAGGATTCAAGGATATTTATTTGTCATTCCCTCAAACACAAACATCAGATGTCCATGAAACGTAATGAAACTGGTTGCACAGATCCCGATGTTCAGCGTGAATGATAGTGAAAAATAGTACAATAAAATTGAAATATTTACAAAAACAAGCATCGACAGCTACAGTAGACAGTGTGCAAAATGATACATCTATACAACAATAGCAGCAGGTGTGGTATTTTTACTTATTTATTTTTTCACGAAACTTAAATTCTACAACTTAACTTAGTTAAGTAGGTGTAAGAAAGTGTGTTGGTTGTCTCCACGCAGACTTTCTGCTGTGTGGTGACAGTGTTAACCACTGCTCCACCATCCAGCTTTGGTTTGCATGTCCAGTCAATTGATTTATGTTTTTTTCTGTTTTTCCAGTTGAAAACAGGCTTTTAATTCTAACACTTTTCCCCCTGATGACTAAGTTACATGATCCTTTGAGAGAACTCTTTGGGTCTTGATTTATACCTGCTGAACGAACACACACACGCGCGCGAACGCACGCACACACACAAACCGATTCCAACAGAAAAGGATTGAAGCTTGTTCGGCTTTGAGACTACATCCAGCCAACTGTCTGTGCCAAAAGCACCATTCCACGTGAGCATAAAAGTCATTTGAACTTCTGAGCTGGTTCCAGGCTGACTGATTCAAACTCTGGCTGATGGAGCAGAATGAAAGGGCAGCTTCTGGCACCAGCAAAGAGGCCCATCAAACAAGGCCAAACTGGTGGAGGACAGGAACGGCACGAGGGCTAGAAATGATCAGTTGTTCTGGTCTGGTACTCTGTTATTATACTGTACACCATGTAAAACAGCTGGTGAGGAACACAAAAGAAATCTTGTTGTAGAACTGGACAAAATCTGAAATGCAGTTGCTCTCAGCCAAGACTTTATGATTTAGCCATTATGTGCACAATGTTTCACTCTGCAATATCACATTTTACAGTGCACTTATAAAACAGCCCTTTTATGCTCGCCCCAAAATGGAATCTCTTTGAAAACACAGATGCGTGTAATTGGTAAATCATGGGGGTGACTTTGGTAGGAAAAACATTTTGATAGTGCCCTGAGTTCTACATTTACTGTAATGTGAACACTTCTTTTGACAGACGGTAAAACTAATGGTGTTCTCTGCTTAGTTGGCTGCATGTGTGCTATGACATTTTCAAAAGCCTCAGTGGTTAAGCATGGATATTCTGGTTGCAAATACCCCTATAATCTGGGGGAAAAAAACCTTCATTAGGCACAATATCCCAAAGTATCTTAGAGAAAAAGGCCACAAGCAGCAAGCTGTTTTTCATAATAAAAAATAATTCAGAGCTAAACTCTTGTCAACTGCATCGTTTGTTGAAGAATTTTCACATCCTTTTTGTTTATTCTTATGCTTGTTTGGGACATCAGTGCACAGACAAATGTCAATAGTTTATCCTGATGTGCAATATCTGTGGGTTTCAGGCTATGTGCCAAGATAGTGAGATGATAAACGCATTATGTCTGCTTGTGGCCATGCAAGGATGTTGCTCTGTCGCTTCTTTGTCACTCGCTTTAGGTGGTCTGAAGGCATTGTGTCCGTAAGCCGGATGAAAAGAATGTTGTTAGGAATTAGCTCTGGATAAAAGCTCCCGCAGCGTTAACACACCTGACAAAGTATTTTTAACTGAGACGAGTCAGGCCAGGGATTCAACTTGTCAGCAGATGAATAAACATTCAATTCCATCTGCTGAATAAAACCCAGCAAATCACTGTCACGTGTTGGAGCTACGGCACTCGCTCACCGTCTGTATTGCTTTAATGGAGGTGTTGAGGTGAAAAAGGCAACCGTGAGATATTCTGTCACTCACCTTCCATCGGCTGCTCCTCTGTCACCTCCATGTCATTGTCTGAAAGAGGTGGGATATGAGGGTGTGTTAAACAATGATGCTCCATACAACAACGACAAAACGAGCCGGCACTTTTTTCACATATCCGAAAACTTCCAGTTAAAACTCTTTCACCTCCTTCAGTCGCCATGATCCACAGCCCTCAATGCCTTTTCCAATTTCCCCACCAGGCAGCCTTGGATTTAGCAAGTTATTACACAAAAGGACCAAGCATGTGGGTATGTGTTTGAGGGGGTTCACATTCATTCTTTTTCAATTAAATTCATACTACTAGACTCAGCAGAAATGACTCAAAACCTCCTATTTCCTGAAATTACATGGACTAAAAGGGCTGGCACGAACAACTGTGCCTTTTAAAAGTTCTTTAATTGTCCACCCTTTTCATTCTAACCCTATTGTGTAAAAGCGACAGAGAGAACTACAGGTGTTTCTGAATGGAGGAGTTGAGCTGCACCATGGGAGTTGAGGAGAAGGCTTTGCAGGCTGCTTCTGGAGGAACTGCAGAGTGAGAGGTAAGAGGAAGTGTGGATGCCTCCTCCCAGCTCCTAGTTCCTACAGACAAACATGGATCCATCAACACTCAGATCTTACACAGCTCCGCGTGCCTCAAGGTGCTTTTGTGACATGCCACTACACTGTAAGCCCAGTCAATGTGTGCTTGCTTTTTGTGTGAGCAACATATGAATGGAACACATACATTCTGTGAGGGAATGTTCACACTTATGTATGCATATAYATGATGGCGCGTGACTCAGTGGAATGATTGCACAGTAGTTAACAAGAAAAGAAACGCGCTCGCTTTGATGAAAGGCTGTTGTCATCTGTTCTGTAGAAATGTAACCATCAGAGCTCCCTGCGGATTCTACGACAGGCTTTTCTTTTGTATAACACAGAATAAAAGGGTACAGTGCATTAATCTAACCCTGCTTGGGGAAACAAAGGAAGGCCCACTGATACAGTAACAGCAGCAAAAGAATGGAAACAGGAGGTGTTTCAACTGCTGCCAAATGCTACAGTCAAACCCTTGTCCACACAGGAAATGTTTGTGATTTAGTCATGGACAACAATAGATGACACCATTTCTTTTCCCAGATTTTTGTGCTTAAAAGTCAACTAAATTGCAAAGCTGTACCTAGTACTACTGATGTAAATCTTACATCTTAATCCTTAACAATACAGTCAAAC